TATAGATTTGTTAAGTAGATAAAATAAATTTTTAGGTCTTTACACAATGAGAGGGGATTTAGTGAGACAACATTTATGTACAGGCTATAATATGTTTTTATGATGATGATATTGTTGACTATAAATTCAATCTGCTTGTTCTTCATGATGACTCCTGACTGGATTCAAAGAGAAGAATTCATATTTGTGGATTTGGGCTTCAGTGAATCAGACGAGTATTTCCATCAGTTTTGGATCGAGTCTCAAATATAAAACAGTTTCTCTGTTGTTTCTACATTTACTTGGCTCTGCCAAGGTGAAACTACAATGATGCATCACTTAAATTGTTGCTGCAGCAAGGAATTGTGGGACGGCATTTATCCTTTCCTTTTGTAAAGGAAGCTCCAGTGTTTCCTAGGCTAAAGGAGATGAGATAGGAAGCATTGAAACTCCTTTCCTTATCATGTAGAGAAGTGGAGCAGCTCTGATACTTCAGTTCATTTCACTCAGTCTGAACCTTCCTAAGAAAAAAATACTTTTTGACCGCAGCTAAGGTGAAAACCTATTGTATGTCTGGATCGCCTAAGGTCAAATCTGTATTTCATAACCAACCAACGACTATTTGCCTGCTCATCTGCCTATGAACTCACCTGCATGTCTGCTGTCAGCTGGTTTTATTTTATTAAAGCTCCTTCACTGCATCCTTCTGTCTTGTGAGTCTGTGTGTTCAGGTCCTTGCTGCTTGTGCTCCCACCAGCATCAGCCAATATCTGAAGTTGTAATTATTCACTTTTTCATTGACTGATCATATTTATCATTGATGAATATAAGACACTGTTATCAATGGAAAGAGCTTCATTGATTCTATAAGAGTGTGTGTGATGTGCTTTACTCCGGGAGGTTAGCTCAGCGTCTCTAGAAATGACATTTATATGCAACTAAACTGCAACAGCACGTAGGGAACAAAACTGCAGCTGGATATTTTCTATCAGTGTAATAAAGTCACATTATTAATCAACATATTTGGTGAGCACATTTGTTGGTGTTGTAGTAGTTGCCACGACATGTTTACATCCATCATTTGAATTTATACAGTTAAGATCAAAAGTTTTTTAATTTGTTTTGTTGGTTTGTTGTTTCACTGCTGATGTGTGATCACAAGTTGTGAAACTGATCATTTGTTGACCTTTAAAATGTTGGTGGATAATTGAAAATGCCATCTATCATTTAGAGGGATGGGAAATAATTACAAGTGCTGCAACACTCACATAATTTAATTTCACAAACTTCGACAGATTGTAACAAAATGGCTCTAGAGTCACACTAACGTTTGTGTGTGTGAGTCTAAGAAAGAGAGAGAGAGGGACAGCTTTAACTAATGAGCTCTAGCTATTGCCAGTGTGTTTTCAGCCTCTGCCCTTTCACAGTGTGAGTCTCTCCTCTACACGACCACTCTGGCGCTTCTAATTATTTGTCTTCTTGTAGCTTTAAGATATTAGAGGAAATCATTTTGTTTATTTCATTGTCTTTGTCATTCTTGTCAGTCTCTCAGGTCAAAACAGAATTATAGCCTTGAAGAGTTACTCTGTTTGCATGTGAAACTGTTCCTGACTGGATCTTTGTTCATTTTATAGCTTTATATGGAAGAAATGTACAGATGCCCAGAGTTTATCATCATTATTCTAACTTTTAAACTTTAAACTTTTAAAGAATTACCACTTCCAGCAGTTGTCTGTCTCTACCACTCAGACCGGTTTCAGATTACATCCTTGTTTATGCAGAGTCACATACAATATCAAATACTATTCAGAACATTTGTAATTGTATGGGATAATTTCACCATTCACTTCCATGAAGTTACGTTACACAAATTAACCATTTGTGTGAAATGTTGTCATAATTGCTGTGTGACGTCTTCAGTTATGGCTAGACAGTGTTTTGTGAGGTCACACCTTGACCTTTGACCTTTGACCACCAAAATCTAATCAATTCATCCTTGAGTCCAAGTGAATGTTTGTGCCAAATTTGAAGAAGTTCCGTCAAGGTGTTGCTCAGATATCACGGCCACGAGAATGTGACGGACGGACAGACAACCCAAAAAATAATACGGTCGCCGGGGCAGAGACGTACAAATGTCGTGGCAGAGAGAAAACGACCTTGCTATAACAGAACTAATGTGTTTGACAAAGTTTAGAGAGATGAAGCTTGTTCTTACGTCGTGAGTCTCATGCGTCTGTGACAGAACAAATGTTCTTATTTATACAATACAAGCTTCTATTTTTAATCAACACTGTGGTAGTGGAGGCGTGTTGTTGAAGTGGCTGCACAATAAACTCTGCAACACTGTCACATGTAACTTCACATTGAATGAATGTATTGTCTTTGTATCAGGTGTAAAGGAGAAACACTGAAACTACATTATCGTTAGCAACAGAGTTCCATGTAAGATGAAACTGCAAACTCTGAAACATGATATTGCTGCTTCACCCACATGCTCTCTCTACGTGGAGACAACGGTCCCTGTCAACATCACAATACCAAGGTTCTTTATCCTTATTAGGGATTATGTGCTGGATCCTTGTTCCCAGGCAGATAACCTCTCTGAACAGCTAAAAATAAGCACACATGAGCTTCGTGATTGTTTGCAGGTACTATCAGTGTAGGCAATGTATCGAGCACACTAAAAACAATTCTGTTTAATTCTAAACAGAATATTGTGCATTACGGGGATTAATGTTCCATATTTTACTGCTCCACTAATAAAAAAATGAAAAAAATGACTATAATGAAGCTGCTTTTAATCCATATACAGCTACCATTCCTAAAAATAAGTATTGTAAGTTAGTAAGAATTTACAGCCATGTAACAGGATGGTGACTGTGATTTGTTTTTACTGTGTCTCTGAACTCCAGCTCACTGTGTTTGAAATAAAACTGAATAAAGTGAAGTGATCATTTGGATTGACCTCAGATTAGAATTTGTGTTAAATGTTCAGTTACCAGTAACTGGTCACATTGGACATTGAACAGTGTCAGATCTGTTGCCAAATAATGAAAAACGATATCACTGCTCTCATAGTGTACTGCATATACTGTACTGTACCACTGTCAAATTTGCAGATGACACCACCACAGTAGGGCTGATAACTGACAACACTGAGACAGCCTACAGGGAGGAGTTCAATAACTGGGAGAGTGGTGCTCCCACAATAACCTGGACCTCAACTCCACAAAAACAAAAGAGATGGTTATAGACTTTAGGAAATCCAGGTGCATTGAGCACTTTGCCCTCTGAATACGAGGGGAGGAGATAGACAGGGTAGAGTGTTTCAAGCTTTTGGGGTCTACATCTCGGCCGACCTCACCTGGTCTAGAAACATCTCTTACCAGGTGGGGAAGACCCAGCAGAGACTTTACTTCCTAAGGAAGCTAAAACGGACCCACCACCCACAACAAGAGTGGGACTCATCCCACCCTGGACTTCTTGTTTTCCCTCCTCCCCTCTGGAAGAAGGTACAGGACATTCAAATGCAAAACAAACAGACTAAACAACACATCTGGGTTGTTTTTTATCAAAGACAATAAAGATGTATTCTATTCTATTCTATTCTGTTGCTGAGATATCAGGATTTTAATGAAGGAGGTATTTCCCACAGAGAACATACTATAATACCCTGTGGGAAACCCTAAATATCTATATTTAGGGTTTCCCACAGGGTATTATAGTTTTATAGTGCAGTGGTTCTCAACCTGAGGGTCCTGACCCCCAAGAGGTGTTGCAAGATAATTCTGTGGGTCACTAGATGTTTGAGGATAAAAAAAAATAAAACAACATATTAAAAATAAAATAACAGATTCTAGAACGGAGAATGGCTTTTACAACACATCGCCTGTACCTGTGATGTGATTTGCCTTAGAACAGGTTTTCTGAGTGTGAGTGTATTTTTGAGAGTCAAAGTGTGTGCGTGCAAATGTTTATGATTAGACACAAGACAAGACAAGACAGGAGGAAGACCTAGGAGCAACAGCTTGAACAGATGAGCAGCCCCTCTGCAAAAGTCTATGAAATTTGACATTTCTTTTGAGGAGCAGAGATGTTTCATCAGACAGCAAAGGCCATGTATTCATTGAGTTGTTTAAACTATTATCAAATAACTAAACTGATAATGAGATAAGAGTGGTAATAGTAGTGGTAGGTAATCAGTGATGTCAGACACCAGGATAAAATAAGTTTGATCACCAAATGGACCTGTGAGTCTGCATTGAGTTTAAGTCCGTTTAAAGGAGCTATTTGTAAGCGTTGCTACTGCTACATAGCTGGCGTTAGCATTAACAGGTGTCTATTTACCAGTGTTGCCAAAAGCTTCAGCTGTTGCGTTCACAAGACAAGAGGTGATAATACATACTCTGAGTAGCTGCTTCTTCTTCAAGGCAGACTGGAGGCTACAGTGACCAGACGTTCCAGCCGGACTGGAGCTAGCTGGTTAGCATGCTAACTTCATCACAAGAAAAGAAGTGATAGAAATAGGAACAAAACAAGTTTCTTTCCACCTCTGGAGACAGCTCATGGTGAGTAAAGGAATGAAGTTTAATGTTGAACTTACAATGTTTCTTCTAGACTGGTAATTAAACAGCTGCCAATGCTAACTGTAGCTATGTAGCAATAGAAAAACTTAAAAATAGGTCCGGTAAACCTTTTAATGGACCAGTTGGATTTCGGTCACTCGTTCTGTATTACTGCTTATTCCTACTGTAGTGTTGAACATCTTGTATAGATGTCTAAGAAGATACAGTGTGAGAAAACTAATTATCACATTCTGGCAGTAGACCAGATACAGTATGGGTCAGTCTCAGTTTGCATTTCTTCATTAATTTTACATTAGGCACATTTATTACAGCTGCATCATTCCATCAAATGCAAATATTCTTATGCATCATTACCACGGTTCAGTCTGACATGTTTAGTATCTTTGGAAACTTGTGGAACCACCTGGCAGATCCATGGGAGGTCATATGTCTTACCTGCAGTCTTGTCGTGGGTTGGCCACATATCCTGGATAAGCTCCCTCAGTGATATCACGGCACATTTTGCTGTCTCGGTCTGAAGGCAGCAGGGTCCCCGCTCGCACCATCAGACCCAGACAGTGGTCAAACGTGTTCCTCTCTTCTGGACCGTCCTCCATGAAGAAGCAGTGGCCCAGCATGTCATAACCTACCACGTCTTTTACCTGGGAGGGAGAAGACACGTTGAATTATACTGATTATGGGCTGACAAGATGTCACAGGATGTCACACTACAGTAACTGCCAGCAAAGAGTACAATTGGCTGTGAAAGTACCAACTTTCCAAAACCTAATTCCTCATTTTTCACCACCCTCTGTGATATGCACCATTATCTAACATGGTTGGCTCCGCTTTATCTTCCATGTTATATTAACTGACTTCTTGCAAAGCGACTGTGCAAGAAGACTCCATCATTAACATATTGACGGAACTGGATACTGTTTTCTAAGACAATGCCCTAATTCCAGCGAAGGTTTGACAATGTGCTTGTGTGTATGTCAGTGTGAGTGAGTGAGAGAGAGAGAGAGTGGGGCACAGAGTGGTTGAGCAAATCATCGCACCTCTACAGTGAAATCAGGTTTTATCCATTGGAAATAGTAATATATATTTTTGGTACATTATGAAGCTGGCAGGACTAGTTTGACTGTGACAGAGGACATCAGTAGAGTGGTTGGTCCTTCAATGTGGCCAAGGACACATTTGTGTTCACACTGCTAAAAGAATATGGACACATGTTGTCCAGACCATCTCTGAATGTGGTCTGAGTGACTAGATCTCAAATGTGTCCTCAGTGCGTCTTGGGTGCGTTCACACACCTGAACTTAGAGCTGACCACTTGTGATCAGATCATCCGAGAGAAGATGTTAACACCAGATCTGAACAGGTCTGAACAAGGCCTTCGTGTTACCTCCAGACTGAGGCTATTTTTTTCCAGTCTTTGTGCTAAAGTAACTCGCTGCCGGATACAGAACTGAGAGGACTATCAATCCTCTTGTCTAACTCTTGGCATGAAATCAAACAATTGTATATCCCAAAATATCACTATATATAGTATACTATAATATACTATTACATATACTACAGTGTAATACTATAACTTCTTGTTAAATTATGTTCCTTGCAAATACATCAAGTAAAAACGAAATAAAAAACACTAAACTTTAACTGACCAGCAGTCCGTTGGAGCCATGGATGGTTATGCAGCGGGAGAAGGAGTGGTGGATGGACAGATCTCTGACAGAGGTGGGGGGGTCGTAGCCTCCCCTCTCATCCACATCTCCATTCATATGGAAATGGATGGGATAGTGTCCCATTGTCTGCTGGCCCATGTGCTGCAGCTCCAGCCCAGATATATGAACTGCCCTGAATCCCCGCTCCACCTGGTGACAACACACAAACTTCAGTTACTCCTGCACGGAGATCAGGTTGTTGTGTCAGTCAAACAAAAGCTCTCACTGTAATCACTGGGCACAGCAAAGACAAACAAATGCAAGGCTGTTTCAACAGAAGGTGTTTGTGAAGGTAATATATCAAAATAAAAGGAGGAATGGTGAAAGGAGGAAGAATAAACGGGGAAGGGAATGTGGGAAGTATGATGGACAAATGTAGGGAGTGGAGGTAGGAGGTAGAGAACAAGGGTAAGAAATAGTTGAAGACTGAAAGGAGGGACAGAAGAACTGAAAAGAGGACTTATGAAAGGGAGGGTGGATGTTAGACCGTTCACAAATGAATAAAGAAAGGAAGGAAGGTAGGAAAGCACGGGAGGATACAAGGATGGAGGAAGTAAGGAAGCATGAAAGAAAACAGGTATTGACTAGAAATGAAAGGAGGAGAATGAGAAGAAGCATGGAGGGAGGTTAGAGTTGTCAGGTGCAGAAAGGAAGGAAACAAGGAATGCATGGATGAAAGGATGTAGAGGGAAGAAACATGGGATAGAAAAATGATGTAACATAGACAAAGAGATGGAGAGATAGAATAGAGGAAAGCAGAATGAATAACAGAAAGAAGGGATGAAAGGACACATTAGAGGCAGTTAACATGATTCATCAGTAAATGAAACAAATTAGAGAGCAGAGTGACTCTGTGATGAAAAGCAGCTTTGTTCCCCAAACTAGAGCCACTGTTGCACATATCAGGAGAAAACCTCTTATCTCACACTTTGTGATTTTCATTGTAACTTCACATGAAAAATTACAGACTTGTAGTTGAAACAAAGTCTCAGCCCATGACCAGCTGATATTGGTGGAGATACAAGTCATATCACATCTGTCAGGAGGGACTATGCTCCGAGGCGTTCATTTCGAAGGGCTTTCCCTGGTGTGAGTGTGCTGCTCGTCCTCGATGTTCACACACCCATCCATGAGAAATATGTGACATGGAAATTTATAATAGGATGTGATGATGATAGCGTTCCATGGAGAGAGAGAGAGAGAGAGAGAGAGAGAGAGAGGCGTGAAGGCAGTAGGAGTACAACCAGCCCCTCCCTCTCTCTCTCTCTCTCTGTCTCTCTCTCTCTCTCTTTCTCTCTCTCGCTGTCTATGTCTCTTCTATGCTCCTCAGTCCTTTCCTGTCTCCTCTGTCTCTTTTAATCCTGTTGACAGGCTGCATGCTGCTGAGCATCTTAACCTTCTTTTCTTTAACTTTAATCATACACCAGTACATTACATTTACACATCCAGGCTTTATCATCCTGTCGTCAGCCAATTTTTAGGGATGGCAAAGTGCTGTTGGTTGGCAAATCTCAGCTTCAGGATACTGTCAATCCCAACAAGGTCCACTTTTCCATCTTTTTTTCCCAGAGCTTTCAACCTTATCTCACGGCCTTCATCTGCAGATGGAGTTTGTGCAGTTGTCACAGAGTCGGATATGTTCATCCATCATCATCTGCTGACGTACACTACATGACACAGTTAAAACCCACAGAAAAAGATGGAGCTTGATTGAGATTGTTTTGTCAAACTACATTTTCCATTGTCAAGAATGAACTTCGTTGCCTAATATTGGATGGATTGGATTGAATTTAGATCAGACCTTTATGTTCCCCTCAGGATGAATTGTAATGACTTGGTGATCCTCTGACTGTTCATCTCACCATCATCTGGTTAATATTTAAATTTTCCAAAGCTTTGGTTTATGACTACAAACTTAACATTCCCCTCAGCCACAGCTGGACTTTGTATTTATTACCAGATAATTATCTGTCAGTTATCAGTCAAAGGAGTTACTGTCAGGTCTGTTTACATCAGATCTGCTGTAGGCAACATACAGTGATAGAAACTCTTCTAATAACAGAACAGATATAAACTAAACTTTCTCAACTAACAGGAAACATGTTGCCATGGATACAGTGAATTAAACTGTGGGTTTCAACTTGAGCCCTGTTGTTTTTTTTTAGCCCATGTTTGTTTACACGTTGGAAAATGAAGTAACTGAATGATCTATTTTAACTTCCTGTTTGTTATCTACCACTGATGTAGTGACAACTATCACTGATCACTGACTGAGGAGCTTCTTCTTCTCTGATCTCTGATCAGATTTATAGAGGTTTTTTTGCAGTGTTGTTTTCATGTCTGTGTTCTGACTGAATCATGACTCAGATTGTTGTCTGATGTCATATTCAGGTGTTTTTGGATGTTGATGTTTGATGATTGTTAAATGATCTTACTGATCTTATTTGTTTTGGAGAGTGTGAGTGTTTTGATACGAGTAATATCACACATGAGGAGCTCTCAGACACTTTGATTTTATCAAAGAAGCTCAAAGAAGGGAAAAAGGTTGTAGATCCCTGATGTAATTGTAAGCAATGCTAGCATGCTAACATTGGCACTCAGCCTCACAGAGTGTGCTAGTGACTTTTTTAAACCCAGATTTCTTCTCTGTGAACTTCACTATGGAGAATCAACGTCCCATGAAAAAAATGCATCCAACTCTACTAAGAAACTTCTCATTATTTTGAGCTGTTAGCAGAGACTGAAGGTTTCCCTCTCTGTCTCTGATTTGTTTGCATGCAATCTCTTATATTTCTGCTTTCCCAGAGTGTGATGCACTCATGTGGAGGGGTGGAGCAGCCTTCAGGAGTGGGAAACTGTCCTCTGGGTGGTGAGGTCAATGGGACACTGTCAATGACTCAAACCATCATCTGATGTGAAATCAAACCTGTGTTTAATGCAACTCATTGGTCTTAGCTATTGAGTGAGTTCAGTCAGCACACAGTCTGTCACACATCTGGCTTCACTCAGCTGCAGGAGATTCCAGCTCTGAACTAAAACCTCACAACTACTCAGAAAAATGAAAAAATGAACTAAACATTTCGGTATTTGCTTTTCTTTTTTTTTTTTTTAATCAATATTTGTTATAATTGGATTTGGCTGGTCCCACTGCACCACTGCACTTTGACTGTAGAAGGCAAATGTATTCACTGATGAGGAGTCTTTGAATAATACAGTGCCACATTTTTTCTGTGTTGAAAGAATTTAAACAGCAACTAAAATAAGAGGGAAATTTGCCTATTCATGAACACCAGGGTTGAGGTTAGACTCAGACTTTGTTCATTGATTTTTGACGTGCCTCTGTATTTGTTGATCATCAGATGCAGGGACACAGTCTGAGTTCCTTAATGAGCCTTTTATTATTTATATTTTTCAGTGAGGGATAATTTATATCAATATTTTTTTATATGTTTAAAGTTGAACAGGTCTGCATGAACAAAATAAAGCTTGCATCAGAGCCTTCCTTTAATATACACGGGGTTACAATAAACAAAGATTTGGAAATGGCCTCAGTACAAATGATAACAATTGATTATGCTATCAGTCACCCCAGGCCTAATCACACAGATCTGCTCAGTACATGTCTATTAAGAAAACATTTATTTCGGGCCATTTATTTGACCATCTATTGATAACAAATAACTGAATTAATGCTGCTTTCTTTAAAGGATATAATTTCCTTCTGCATTGCAGAACAGAGAGGTTCAGGAGATCCTTTGTTCCCACAGCCATCAGGCTATACAACACCTCAGCCAAAGGAAGTGGATCATGAACTAGATTAATTTAACTATTATCGTTTATTTATTATTTATTGTTAACTTTTATTATTATTATTATTATTACTAATGAGCTACTGGACTACTAAATTTCCCCTAGGGAATAAATAAGGAATCTATCTATCTATCTATCTATTGTTAACATTAGGAGAATTGATTATCCAACTATAACAGAGGAATCTCTGTTATCCTCTATAACAGAGGAATCTCTGTTATAGTTGGATAATCAATCAGTCTGTATTTTGATTGCCTTGACCCACTTGTCATCCGATCGACTTCAGACTTTGCGGGTGTGTTGCTGAGGACCCAAGGAAATTACAGTGTTGACTGTGACGTTTTTTGATAAGCAATTCTCTTTACTTGATGTGAAGAAAACAGGTGGAACTATACTACAAGGGGAGTGTTTACAGCACACAGTTTTTGCAATCTAGAGTCGTAGAAATATGGTCCTGAAATCAGCCTCTGGTGTTCCTATTCGCTAGGTGGCAAAAAGTAGGGTCCTAGAACTGTGGTACTGCCTGCGGTACTGCAGAAACATACTATTGGCAGTGGCACTAAACGTTGGCACTTTTTTTTTGTGTGTGTAAATAAATACAAATGTGAGGCACTGTATCGTCCAATATAGATTTAAATTTTTGGGACACTTTTTGGCCAATGTTTTTATTTTTTTTTGTGATAAAACCCAACTGTCCAACCCAACCTCCTTCCTAGAGTGAGCTAAAACCTCTGACGCGTGTACACAATAACCGAACAAAAGACCAACATCTGAGTAGCTGGTGATTAGAAAAGTATCAACTCAAGGTCCACTTACTGACTTGTGTTGTAGCCTTTCACCTTGTTCATGCTGCTCAATAGCTTGGTAAGTTGTAAGTTTGGTCATTTGCCATGAAACTGTAGTTGTTCAAACTTTGGATGATTTTAATGACCTAGGACTTAAAGGCCAAAATCTAGTATGTGGACCTTGAGTTGAGATGATTTTATCATCTGCTATTTCCAAGGGGAAAAATTACAGGAACTGACAAGCTCAAAGGAGAGGAGCTCTCACAGAAAAACACAGACAGATCTGAAACAAGTCACTGCTGAGTTCTCATCTCCAGGCAGCACACTATGATCCCTGGTGGAAACTGGTTCATAAGTGATCATGTGGTTGTCCGTTTTGTAAATAACAAGGTGATTTACTGTACCTTTAAATGTCCACCAAACGTGTCGAAGGTGAAGAATTTGCAGGCCTCGTTGCCGTAGCAGCCAGGCTCCATCTCACCACGGAGCAGGATGTTACGACTCAGCAGGCCGACCTCTGCCCTCATGTCCACCCCGTCCACCTCCTCACCCATGTGGATGAACTGGGCCTTACCTATACACACACACACACACACACACACACACACACACACACACACACAGGAAACAAACGATAAAGTGCACTTTTCTCAGTCTCTGTTTAAACTGTGCTCAGCTCTGTAGAATGGACGGTTGAGTAACAGTGAAGCTTCAGACAGCACTGTCAGAACATGAGTGGAGATTCACACACCAGTTTTCAACAGATGTCTCTATTTTGTGTCTTTTCTAACGGCCCTTGAGCTGAGGTAATGTGTGTGTGTGTGTGTGTGTGTGTGTGTGTGTGTGTGTGTGTGTGTGTGTGTGGGTTTGTGTGTGGCAGAGCGGATGTTTCAGATAAATGAGATGAGATGGAGGATATAATATTGAAGCTGAGTCAGAGTGTGTAGCACATATATATATATATATATATATATATAAGGGAAAGGGAAAGGGAAAGGTAGGCAGCTTATGGTGAACAGACAGGCACTCAGATACACACTGATGCATAAAAAAAAATACACATGCACACTTGATACTTTGTTTCAGTGTTTTGAGATGTGAGCATTAACAGCTGTTTACTTACCAAACAGTATTGTAACGATGGCTGAAGACTGGTCAGTAAACAGCTGTTAATTCTCACGCTAGCTATGTCGCAAAACTTACAATACAAACAGCTAAGCTTCTTTAATTTTCAAAACTGAATTTATGTTAAAAAATTTGAGGAGAGAGTGTGAGTAAGAGAGAGAGAGGAATTGAACCAGATGTTATTGACTCACAAGGTTTATTAGTCTCCCCTTTTTACCACACCTATTAACACCCACTGAAACAACTGACTCTGAAATACATCAAAGTGGCAGGGAGGTCATGCATCTCTCTCACATACTCCTCATCTCTTGGATTTGGTGCAACAGACTATGAAACCAATGACATGGACCCCTCCATTACCAGTGGAAATTTCTCCCCCGTCTCCACACAGGATGGAGCTCAGTCAGAATGACTCCTGGGTTCTTGATCACCTCTCTTACCATGACCCTTATTGGCCGGACCACCAGTCCTGGTTGTTTCAAGCTTCTGAGTTAAATTTCAAGTGTCATGGCAAAGGCTCTGAATACTGATGTCAATGTGATAATTCAGTTTTTCCTCCTTAATAAATTTGCTAAAATTTTATAAAATTCTGTTTTTGCTTAGTCATTATGGGATGTTGAGTATAGATTGATGAGGGGAAATGTAATTGTTTTGGCTGTAACATGACAAAATGTTACTTTCCAAACGTACTGTAAACCTCCACCTTAATCTGAACTTGCTGCTTCCTGACCACATGTTGGTTTTCCTCCCTCAGTCTGCTGCTACAGGAGACTCAGAACAAAAGCCACAATGCACTGGACTGTCTTTCACTCCTGTACGTAAGCACGTGCCTGCGCTGCCCTGGGTTCCCTTTCACCCTGGAGCAATAGATGACCCCCCTGATTGTCATTGTATAATTCACACTCTGATTGAAATCACCAGTATGAGATCTTTCTCTCATTCCTTTCACATCCTCACATGTCTTCCAGTCATGTGTTCTGGGAAATGAAATTTCTCACTGTTATTAGTCACAGGGAGCCACAAACATGAGGAGCCGTGCTGCACAGCTCAAATTCGTCCTTGTATTCTGTCTAACAGCTGTTAAAAACATGACTTCAGTTTTGTGGTCATGCACAAGCAGCTGAGAGCGAGAGAGAGAGAGAAAGAAAGAGAGTCTGAGTGCAGAGGAGAGAGAATCTATTCTCGGTGCCTCGGTCTTCCCTAGACTTGGTCCCACCACGGGACTCATGCAGTCTGGGGAGCCAGTTTTCTATCTCTTCCCCTGTATTAGGACATATACATATTAACACACACACACACACACACACACACACACATGCAGTGAAGACAAGTAGCTGAAAGCAAGGATATGTAGCTCAAATGAACTGTATGTCCCATGTTCACTATTTACATATATAAAAAAATGTGGAGGAGTCTTGTCTGGGTTATTGTTGGTGGGACATGTTACACTACACTAATCTTAAAATACGCTGTGTTGGCATATTTCTATGAAGCCTATAAGCATGTGTCCAGCTGTATGTAACTGAAGCTGGCTACATTCAGGAGGTCAGTCATTTCATCCTTGTGCTTGAGAATCATTCAGTGTTTAGAAATATCACAACACTCGTCACTTCTGCATTCTCTGGTTACAACAGAAGTCGATGACAGTGTCGCAACTCTCTTTTTCAATGCTGGGATAAAGGAGCTTCATCGTCATGGTTATGATAATTAACCCACAGTTAAGATTGAGGACCGGTCCTGGAAAAAAGACAAAACCCTGACTTCCCATGCATATCAAAACTTAGTTAGTCATGATTATGACTATGAATGCTGCCCAAAAAAATGACCAAAGTTCCATTTTAAAATGTCATCGGTATTTTTGAAAACTGAGTGTTGACCATGCTGCTAACATCTGTCACTAATGTCACAAACCTGGGCTAATTTAACGAGCTTAAAAAGTGGACTTTTCTACGTTCTCAGAGATCGTATCGGGGCCAATCAAGGTATTTCTTTAATTGATCCGTATCGGCTTTGTTGAGCCTGAACCTAAGCCAACAGGTGTTGTAAACAGAGAGCACAATTTGTAGCAGCACTCAGCTAATCTGTCTGCAGTGTGTAAATATTTTACAATGGAAAGTCAAAGCCTTTCGTGAGGTGGTAGTAACAGAGCTCCGTTCAATACCATAAAATAAACACAAAAGGAATACGGGGAGTTCACTCAGGTAACTCAGGCAGAAGCTGCACCCAGGTAACACACACTGGAGGAGACTTTGAGAAGGAGAGAGAAATTTCCTCGAGACAGCAGGAGGCTAAAAAGATTACAGAGCAGGTCATTGAATTCGTCACTTTGGATGAGCAGCCAGTCTTGGTGGTAGAGAACATCACTGCTCGTTGGACCTTTTGGAGCCATGGTACACCCTCCTCTCTCCACACTGCATTTCTGACACTGCCGTACCAGAGCTTTACAACAAGGCTAAGAGGTCTTTTATCAGACGCTTGCTTAGCCACACTGCACACTAGATCAACCCCACTTTTGATTTAAAAATAATAATAAAATAATGTGAACTTGTGACCATGTAATGTATCCACTGCCACGAGTGGTGATACCTGTTCGTGGGGTTTGTGAGTTTTGAGAGGGGAGTTTGCTGACTGGTTGCCTCTGGTGTCTGTTTGTTGGTTTGTCTACATCTTAAATCACTTTCCTAAACATTGAGGGCATTTTCAACAGTTATTTTTACATCATGTTGATGTAAAAAAAATCATATTCACGGCGTGGAGATCTATGATTTTGTACAAATGCCAATCTCACAGACGTGTAGGATTGTTTGGCCTTGGCCTGCGCTCTACTGAGTGCCATTCTAGTTTGTTATTTATTTGCTGGGTGTGATCACTTCTCAGTGGATGAGTTGCAGAGACACAGCCTGGCTTTACCAGCCTGGGTAAATATCAAGATAGAAATAGAATAATGCTAAATCCATCAGCACTGCTCCAGGCCATTGATCCACTCACTCCACATCTATTTTCTACTCATCATCATTTATGTCATTTAGAACCGTCAAAAGTTCAACATGTAAAAACCAGGCACTAGTTATTGGACTCAAAACGATAAATAGACCTGGGCTATCTGTCTTTGTGTCTCAACAACACACCCTCCCTGTTTGTGTGTGACCTCAGGCGTTGTATTATCACATAAACAACGCTGCAGAGTGACATGAGGGCAATAATTAATGAAAAGGATTACAGTGAGGAGGAGGATGATAGGAGGTCTGAGCAGCTGCCCCGGGGCTCACAAAAAAGGATTTTCACTCTGGCTGGGCCTGAGAGAAAACAGAGACACGGGAGGTGTGGGAGAAGTTTAATGGACTTATCTTCTGATGCAGCTGGGCAGGAGACAAATGCCAGCAGCTCATACAGAGATATGAAAATAAATAGATGCACCCCTACAACCACAGCGGAAGAAATGCTAACTTGTAATCTTTTGGTCAGTGAGTCGGTGACAGGATGCGACAGCTATGAGAGGACACATCACATTGCATTAACGCTGACTTTTATCCGACGCAGGCACAAACTCTTTTCAAAGCAACTATGACAAAGGTCATTTGAATCAGAACGGTGAGGACTGTAGAGGCTGACCTGAAGAATGTTCTGCTCAATGTGTGTGCAATGCAGAGAGAAAGAAAATAAGTGTCTATATTTTTGTATATGTTCATGTGTGTTGTGTGTGTGTGTGTGTGTGTGTGTGTGTGTGTGTGTGTGTGTGTGTGTGTGTGTGTGTGTATATGTGTGTCAGCATGAATGGGCCCAAACATACGGTGGCCCTGAGAGTGCAACACACTACAACTTCAGAAAACACATGCAAACAACAGACAAAACACAAACAACAACAGAAAACATCTTCATCAATTTGACAACACATGAACTGCAAATATTCATAACAAACACAATGGAAGTGTTTCCAGGGGACACTAAAAAGTGATGAACCTGGCTGGGATGCATGTGTAAATGCTTCAAAAGTCACAATTGGGCATTGAACAACAAGTCCCAGCCGGGTTCATCACTTTTTTTTAAAAGTTATTTTTTGCCTTAAAGGTGTAATGTGTAAGATCTGGTTATAATTTTAGTTTAAAATTAAAAAAATGAACTAACACTATCAATAGTATGTGAAGTAGCCACAGTGATGACATCATGACCAAGACCCCCATCTATTGTATTTCAGAGATATCTACTGAAATGAGCATGCTAACCAACTAGCTAGTCCTGGGCCGTGTGGTAATACCACTTTATGACACTGGATGCTGTGTGAGTCAGTGTAGCGTCTAGTCTGCCCTCAGACCCACGAAGAAGAACAGCTTCCTCCAGAGCTTGAAGTTACGCTACAGCTCTGACAAAAAAAATAAAATGAAATTAACATTCCTGACTAACATAACAGAAATGCAGAGATGTCTGAAGCCCCTGAAAGACTGCTCCGAC